CGTCCTACGTGAAGCGTGGGCATTTAGGAATGACCTGTGCTGAGAAAGAATTCTCAGTTCTGAGCTCCTTAAAATTTCCTCACTCTCAGGAAGTTACTTTGCAAACAACAGAATGAAAAAAGAATGTATTATGATATCTGCCTTAACACACACAATTACCCATTATGATTTTCCTTAGGTTTTTTTGCAGGGCCCTCTGTGCTTTGTCATTGCTAAAAACAATTAAAGTGTAGCTTTTCACTACATTATAAATGTAGCTTTTAAATGGTTCTTTAAAATTCAGGGTTACTCAATGGATAACTAATGCCCTTGCATTTTCCCTCTAGATGTTCTACCAAAATAGCAATGACAAGAATGAAAATGCTTATTTGTAACATTTCCTGATACTTAACACCAGGAATTAATTTTGCTGTGTTAGCCCCATATTTATAACAAGCATTTTTTCAGACTGACTCCCCCACGATCCACGCCACCTTCTGGCTTGTCACTGACCACGTGTCCCGGTCCCAACAAACCAGGTGTTCCGTGTTTGGGACGACCTGCCTGTGTGCTTCCACGCACAGAAATCGCAGGGCCTCACCCAGATAAAGCCCTGGGATTTTGTTCCGTCTGATTTTTGGAAACCATCTGATTCCAAAAAAATTGTTTCTGAACTTAAGGATATTTAATTCAAATTTTTGATATCTTGCCTATTTGCTCCAGCAGTCACTTTGTTACATTTTTAAAGCGAAATAAAAATGCTAATAATTTTAAACTTCCTACCTTGAAAGAATATTTTTGATGCCTCAGCAGAATTGGAATGATTAACTATTAAGTGATGCAGGGCCTTTTTGAAGCAAAGCTGTTAGGCTGAACCATTCGAAATTGCTGGTTGTTTTGACTTGCAAAAATGTCAGTCAGATGCTTCCATTTGTATACATCAGAGCGAGTGGGGGCTTTATAACTGCTTGAAACTGAAACTTCCTAGGTTCTACCAGATGCAGGGCACCTGAAGGATGCATTAGACAAACTATTATCTGTTCTAAATCCAAAGCACATACGTAATTGAAGCAGGTCGTAAAAACATGAGCAGCTCACAAGGTGCAGAAGAACCTTCTTTCTTTGCCCAGAGCGGTGGTTGGTGGCACAGCTGGCTTCCTACCAGGACCGCTGGCTCTAGTCCGGTGTTTGTTACGTTGGAACCATAGATATTCAGTCCCAAATATTCACTTATGTGATTTTATTATATTACAATTATATTTTCGTTGTTGTTTATAATATCCCCTAGATTCCTTGGGGACACTGATGGTGGGTCTTACGCCCACACCCCCGACACGCAGGACCTGGCAAGGAGCCGCTGTGCGTCAAATGTTGGCTGAATGAACGGATAGTGACAGTCGCGACGAGCTCTTCCCCCGCATTACCCCATGCGTTAATTTTAAGAGCACGTTGTATCATACCTTCAGTTTGGTTTAATCAACCTCCTCCTTCTTTCTTTCTTTCTTTTTTAATGGATGGCATCAGTACGTAAGGAAATGCTTAGTAACCACGATAGGAATTTTAGAAAATTGAGTTAAAAAAGAAAAACCTGGGAACTGAAAACCTAAATCTTTTCAGTTGGGTGGTTTGGTTTTGTTTTTTTTTTTTAACGAAGTCAGGCAGATCTCGCGTGTGTAAGTTTTGCATTTAAACCTCACAAGGCGGCCAGATCGGGAAGGGCCGCGAGCTGCTTCATTGCAGGGAAACAGAACCCCGTGCTCGCACCGACGGTGATGATTTCAGCCCTGCCTGCTGTTATCTCTGTGGTCACACAGACAGACAAGGAGCTCCAATCCTCAGACTTTATTAAGTACATTACTATGTCAGAGTTCAGATGAGCCCTTTGATTTCCTTATTGTTATGTATTTGCAAATTTAGCTTATCACGTCTTGCGCCGCAGTAAGAGACTATTTGCTCCTTCTCTGGATGTCGTTCAGAATAACGCTAAGGTGGTCGTATTTGTTTTGTAGGACCAG